GCAAGGTGTAGAAGTGGCCTGCTGTTTTATTGAAAAACCCAACTGGATGAATGCACCCATTTCTCCCTAAAAATAAATTATTCTCGGACGCCAAGCGGCCAATGGACTATGTTGGTTCTTATCTTCCACAATTAAACTCTTGACATATTCAAAACGTATTGAAAATGGTTGCAGAAGATAGAAAAGGCGGAATAAATATTCAGAAGCGACTGTCAAAGTCAAGATTTAATAAAATCTAAAAAAATCATGGATCAATTTGGATCAATTTGTCGTTGTCAACGCCATTTATTTACACGGTGTATGTGTTTTTAGACTGTGTAAATATTGCCCGTCCTATACAATTTTGTGTCAGTCTCTACCTAGCACTTTGCTGCAGTAGGGATTGGCCTCCTTAACGTATTAAAGATGGGATACCACATACCTGATATTGATTGATAATATTAGCTTACATAAAAGGAAATATCAGTTATAGACTAGGCCTCTCTCAATGACTAGGGCTTTTATTTTCAGATTTTAAAGTATCTTGAACATAGCCTACATATTATGAACAGTTTGGGTACAGAGGAGGAGGTGGGGCGGGGGGAGTTTATAAAACTCAGATAGCAAATATTTGAATTATTAGCCGATAAATCACAATTCATCCATGTAAGATAGGATTTAAAACTTCCTGTCTTATTTTATTGATAAGGTTTTTATATAATATAAAATAATATATATCAAGTCAGTAGATTAATATCAATATGAAACGAGATCTACTCAGTATTTTTACTGTATTATTATTATATTAAATAATTTATGTTGTTTCATGTCCGATATTTAGGTCGTTGCTAAAACAAACCCGTGTCAATAAATCCGACTCGACTAAACGGCTATTGAAAGACAAGACACAGGTCGATAAGTATAAAACAGTCTCATTGACGAGTGGACAATTTCAGGCCACAGTGGATAATTTATTTGATTAATGTGATTTATAAATTAGAGTTCTAATTTAACATTAATTACAATTTCCTTTCCCTTTTATTTAATATTTTTCGTCTCCATTGTAATCAAACAAGCTTTCTACCAGAGTCCCGTTCTAATAACGTTATTTTCAACCAATCAAAGTGTGTCATGTAGGACCTTATTTGTATTGAACTTACGAAACGAAATACAGTTTTACATCTAGTCCGAACATCTGCCTCTATTCCTGCATCTGATGGATACTCTGACAGTTGTCAGCTGCAGTCGAGTCAGAAGAAAAAGACCCTGTTAAAGGGGATTTTCCACACCTCCAAAGATGCGTTTTCTCTAACATAATATTGAATTAATTTTAAGATGATTGTAAATAAGTGTTGGGCATCACCGTAACTTTTGTTTTGTTAATATTACGTGACTCTTTGACCTTTGAACTTTTGGCTGCGCAAGCAGTTTTAAATGGCCGATGCTAGATCAGTTTCGCCAGAAAATAACTCTGATGGAACCGGAGGCATGACATAAATGCTGTAGGGAGAAAATGATGGTATGACTGAACTACAAAAATATTCATCTTTCCAAATATACCTGGATTTTGCAGATCAAAGGTATCTAAATACGTTTATAACCCCCGTACCTGCGGAGGTGCGGAATGTGCCATTTAACAGGGCCTATTTTTTTCTGTCTCTACAACAGCTGACATCTGTCCAAATATCCATCAGAGTCTGGAATAGAGACAGATGTTCCGGTCTATTTTACATCTTGCGGTTCTGTATCCGACTATATTGGACTAATAAATGAAATGCAGTTTTATATCCTATTGTTTTGAATCTTATTGGACTAACGTTTAATCAATTTCTGTGAGAAAAAAAAAACCTATTAGATTTGGCCTTAGCTTTCAACAACGGATCTTTTTAACATTGTGCAATAACAAACGACACCGTCTGCAATACTCCAGCGTTTTATGGTTGATTCTTGACCTTTTTTCCTTCTCAAATAAGGTGAGTTTGGATTTGATTTCTGAATGACAATTTCAAAATACTTTCATAAAGATTTAATCCTCAACTGGATCATTTTGGTTCACTAGAAAACATGTAGACTTGAAAAAACGGTAATCTGTTGAAATGCGGATTATCAGCTTAGTAGGGGAGAGTAGGGACCTTTGAAACAGTGTCTTATGTCTTATGGATGTCTATTTCGTTGCTAAGCTAAGGTCTTCGTATAGATTAAAGCTTAAATCCTCCCTGGGTCAGAACATGCACGATCCTGCAACTAGTGTTTATAGACTCACTCCTAACCCTGGGGACTGCAAAACTAATTTCCCAACAGTGCAGGTTCTTTAAACCAAGTTACTGTACAGAGACCCTACGTCAGTTGGTTACCTCACTTGACTCACCGTTTGTGTACATCTACAATATTAGTGGTCTAAGTCCAATAAAAAGAAGTAAGTTATTAACTTCCCGTTCTCCTCTGGACTCACTCTACTAATTCATTTGCCATCTCTTCCAATGTTAAAACACGAAATTCTATAACTTTTTCCAGAAATCTCGTTGAAAGCTTTCCAATATGTCGAATGAAAGCCTGACCAATTCTCAATGTCTCCAAAAAAATTCATTATATGACCATGAAAATTTTGAGCTACTAAAATTGAAAGTAGACTACTACCAGTTATACTCATCCGCTAGAGTTTGGCACTTCACAAAACGACTATTTTTAGAATTAGCCTTCCGCCTTTAAGTCTCACATCATCTCACCAAATCTGAAAGATAATGCAATTTCAGACATCAAATTCCAAATCTAGACCAAATTTTACCCAAAAATAGGCAAGCAAAAACCTCAAAAGGGAGAGAGAAAGAACATTCCTATACAATCATTTGCATAAAATGTTTTAGTGGAGTGAGTCCCTCTGGGTTTATCGTTTGTTATTATTTGTTTTTTAAAACCATACTCCACCAGTATTTGTGCTTTAATGGTATTGTGCTCCAGACTGGCGCTATACTCCCATAGCTAGAGGCAAGGACTATATTTAAGGCCCTAATCTAAATTCTTTAGGATTCGCTTCAATTTTTAAAAAAAGGTAGGCCTGATTTTTAAACGATTCACCAATCTGCACACAAACTGAGCAAGAAATTTTGCATTTACAACTCCAGTCTAATTAAACTGTATTAGTTTTAACCAATTTAACCAATTCAGCTAGGGTTTGATGACAGCCCTCTTGAACGTTTGTCAAATTAAACTTTTGATCTAACGTGATGACTTCTCCTTCAACCAATCAAATTTCTACTCTCTCCAGCGCTGGCGTTTTGTGACATGGGTTAGGTCAAAAGATTAATTTGAGGAACATTCAGGAGAGTAGTATACTACTCAGGAGGGCTGTCATTAGACCCTAACTGAAGTGGCTATATTAAAAGTAATTAAAAAAAATGGAATGAAAGTTTGGTGTTATTTTAATGGGATTGTAAAATAATATTTAAATTTAAACAGTAGAGTAACAAACTAAGATAGGATGTTAATATAAATAGTAAGTAATATCTTACTGCGAACTTAAAATGTTCTTAACAGACCCCAGGAGTAGTAAGCAGGCATTGACTTACATTCTACATTCATTGACTTACATCAAACCAGACCCTGTTTTGTTCTTAAGCCCAACGCACATGACAAACTTTTGTCCTTCCTCGAAACAATGTTTGTTCGTTTTATTTCAAGAAAATTTTTTCAAATCACACTTGTTAGAATTCTGAACAAATGTTTCAAGTCTATCGTTTGCGCTGAAATAAAATCATATGAGAATATTTTGGTCACGTGAAACAAAAGTCATGACAGAGCAGCATAAAGAAGGTTTCTTTCTAATTCTAATTATGACATGTTTTCAAGGGACAAAAGTCTGTCGTCTGCGCCTAATTTCATTGCTATACTTACAGCAGGTCTACTAATTTAGGCTTAATTGCTTCATGTGATTTGTTTAAATATCTATGCCAAATGACAATAGCTCCAACCTGTTCCATTTGGCCAAAGCTTTAGATGGAATGGCGGACCAGTTTAGAATTCTGTAGGCCAATTTCTTTTCTTTTTTCTTTTCAGGTCTAGAGTTCTAGAGACTAAAAATCCTGCAACAAAATGGACACCTATGTTCAGAAAGTTGATTTTTTGAAGATTAAAAATGAAGATGAAGAAGATGATTTTCGAGTTAAAATGGAGGAACATTTTGAAGAATGGGAACCAGGAAAGTTTAACACCAAGATGATAATAAACTCTATAAAAATACTGGTAGATAAAGCCTGCATTGAGAAATTTCCTCCAGTTGAAACGCCGTCTGCTAATAGTGTTCTAGAATGTTTATCTCAGATATTTTCAGCAATGGAGTAAGTTTGTTCAGTTTTTTGAATCCCTACATGTTCACAGAATAGTCAAGAGAGGGCTTATTGACGATACTGTCCTATATCATATGCTTTGAAGTTTGAAATATAGGGTGCCCAAAGCCCCGACAGCCTCAATTCTGTTGAGAGGCCACTTTATGGACTAGTTGTATTTTTAATCAGACCTTGATCTGCAGAAATATCTTTAATTTGACTCTTTATTTTGACTCATTCCAGTTTGAAAAAAAGACCAGCCAGGTCATCTGTAGGTAATCTGTAGGTAATCTGTGAGTTGAGTCAATATTTGAAATTTCAATGAACTAGTTATCTAATTGGTTCATTGCTAAAATTGATTTCAAATTCTGTGCCACCAAATTACAAATTCTAATTCTTAAAATCTAGATCTAAATTCTGTTTATCAAACTTTGATGTTATTTATCTCCTGATGTTATTTGTGAATTATTTTATAGTGGTGTAGTAGAAAATGAGAAAGGTAAATATACAGAGCTTCAAGAACCATGTTATGAATTTATTTTAAAATTAATGGACACCGGACCGAATACTCTACCTATAAAACTTATAGAAAATATCATCACTAACTACGAGTTGGAATTTAAGGAATATTTTCAGGTATTTTATATTTTTGATAATATTATAAAGTTTATTGTACTAAAGATAATAATAATTGTTAAGATGATAATATTCCTCTATTATAAAATTATAAAACAAGGTTTCCTTAACTTTTTATTATGTAACAGTGAAATTAGGGTTGGGTCATTGATATCCAAGCCTGTCGTTGGGTTGGGGTCATTGATATCCAGGCCTGTCATTAGGGTGGGGTCATTGATATCCAGGCCTGTCATTATGGTGGGGTCATTGATATCCAGGCCTGTCATTAGGGTGGGGTCATTGATATCCAGGCCTGTCATTAGGGTGGGTTCATTGATATCCAGGCCTGTCATTAGGGTGGGGTCATTGATATCCAGGCCTGTCATTAGGGTGGGGTCATTGATATCCAGGCCTGTCATTAGGGTAGGGTCATTGATATCCAGGCCTGTCATTAGGGTGGGGTCATTGATATCCAGGCCTGTCATTATGGTGGGGTCATTGATATCCAGGCCTGTCATTAGGGTGGGGTCATTGATATCCAGGCCTGTTATTAGGGTGGAGTCATTGATATCCAGGCATGTCATTAGGGTGGGGTCATTGATATCCAGGCCTGTCATTAGGGTGGGGTCATTGATATCCAGGACTGTCATTAGGGTTGGGTCATTGATATCCAAGCCTGTCGTTGGGGTGGGGTCATTGATATCCAGGCCTGTCGTTAGGGTGGGGTCATTGATATCCAGGCCTGTCGTTAGGGTGGGGTCATTGATATCCAGGCCTGTCATTAGGATGGGGTAAATGGGGGCTGGGTTGCCGCAAGTGAGAACTAAGCCACAGCAAATCTTCTCCAGTTCATCAGAAATTGATTAATTTGCATTGTCTTTGTACAAAACCAAAATGATAGGGTTTGTGGCACACAAAATCTGAGTCTGAGCTGAGCCCCAGGAGTAATTCACTCCTGGTGACGGGGCTGTTGATATCCACCATTCCAGTTCCATCCAGACTTCTACCCTATACAAGGGTGTCTTTTTGTTAGGGTGTTCACGGGGTAGTTTGACCTTGAACTGGACTGCATGATTATAATGATCTATAATTACAGGAACCACATCTGACAAAAACTTGGAATGATGCAAATAGTAGCCTAGTTCACCTAAAACAGCTTGAAAACTGACTATTTCTCAACTGATCTGTGATTTAAATTTCAGACTTTAAAAGAAGATAAAGTTAAAAGATATCTAAAAGCGTTAAAAAGATCATACTCCCCACGAGATGGGTTTCAAGATAACAAAGAATATGCTGATCAAGTTGGAGAAATGATTGAACGTATTTTTGATCTGATCGAGTAAGCTGATTGGAAATTTCTTTTCTATGTGGACTCTCTGAAAGAGGTGCCGATTGCCAATGTGATAAGCCTAAATTCCCAAATTAGCTATGTGGACTCTCTTGAAGAGATTTACATCACCTTACACCTTCTTTATAAATCAAGAACCCAGACTGAAAACTGTGCGCGTTTAAAATCACTCGACAATGATTCAAAATAATTATACAATGGCTGAACTCGACTCATTTCTTGATACAACAGAAAGAACTGGAGGAATTTTTGATATCATAAAAATATCTTATAATATAATTTGTTTTCAGGGATGACAGTAACAAAAAATATATTGAAGAATATTTTGATTTGAGTCAGTTTTTTAAATCAGGAGAAGGGAATAAGGAGGAACATCTGAGAAAAAAACTGTTAAATATTTGTTCTGTTATTGAAGATAAATTTGATGGAAATATGCTGAAGGTAGGATAGAAATCACAAATTAGAATATATCTAGGATTATATCTATCTGATTCTTGGCAAGGTTTTTACAAGGATAACAGCTCTGTCTTTCTGAGTCTTTACCACACCTCTTGGCAATGATCTTTCCTAGATTATTCTACTCATTAACAGTTAGGTTGAATAATACATCGTCACAATGTCAAGATAGAATGAACATGAATCATGGTACTTTTCTTGTGTTACGGAAGTTTGTGAATACAGTGATTTGATTGGATTGTATGCTAACAAATACAGCCAATCAGAGTTCTCAACTGGTACTAGTAGTTACACATGCAGCCATGTTGTTTACAGTATTTCTGTTGAGGTTTCTGATTGGCTGTAATTTCATCTAATCAAATGGCTGTATTTACTAACAGTATTGGTACATTGTTTAGTGTTATATTTTTAGAACCAGGTCTCTGAAAGATAAAGTTGGAGTTTTTTGTATATTTTTAGGCTAAAGGAGACATGAGTTATAAAGTTGTGTTTATTTTAGAACCAGGTCTCTGAAAGATAAAGTTGGAGTTTTTTGTATATTTTTAGGCTAAAGGAGACATGAGTTATAAAGTTGTGTTTATTTTAGAACCAGGTCTCTGAAAGATAAAGTTGGAGTTTTTTGTATATTTTTAGGCTAAAGGAGACATGAGTTATAAAGTTGTGTTTATTTTAGAACCAGGTCTCTGAAAGATAAAGTTGGAGTTTTTTGTATATTTTTAGGCTAAAGGAGACATGAGTTATAAAGTTGTGTTTATTTTAGAACCAGGTCTCTGAAAGATAAAGTTTGAGTTTTTTGTATATTTTTAGGCTAAAGGAGACATGAGTTATAAAGTTGTGTTTATTTTAGAACCAGGCCTCTGAAAGATAAAGTTGGAGTTTTTTGTATATTTTTAGGCTAAAGGAGACATGAGTTGTAAAGTTGTGTTTATTTTAGAACCAGGTCTCTGAAAGATAAAGTTTGAGTTTTTGTATATTTTTAGGCTAAAGGAGACATGAACTATAAAGTTGTGTTTATTTTAGAACCAGGTCTCTGAAAGATAAAGTTGGAGTTTTTTGTATATTTTTAGGCTAAAGGAGACATGAGTTATAAAGTTGTGTTTATTTTAGAACCAGGTCTCTGAAAGATAAAGTTGGAGTTTTTTGTATATTTTTAGGCTAAAGGAGACATGAGTTATAAAGTTGTGTTTATTTTAGAACCAGGCCTCTGAAAGATAAAGTTGGAGTTTTTTGTATATTTTTAGGCTAAAGGAGACATGAGTTATAAAGTTGTGTTTATTTTAGAACCAGGCCTCTGAAAGATAAAGATGGAGTTTTTTGTATATTTTTAGGCTAAAGGAGACATGAACTATAAAGTTGTGTTTAGTTTAGAACCAGGCCTCTGAAAGATAAAGTTGGAGTTTTTTGTATATTTTTAGGCTAAAGGAGACATGAGTTATAAAGTTGTGTTTATTTTAGAACCAGGTCTCTGAAAGATAAAGATGGAGTTTTTTGTATATTTTTAGGCTAAAGGAGACATGAGTTATAAAGTTGTGTTTATTTTAGAACCAGGTCTCTGAAAGATAAAGATGGAGTTTTTTGTATATTTTTAGGCTAAAGGAGACATGAGTTATAAAGTTGTGTTTATTTTAGAACCAGGTCTCTGAAAGATAAAGTTGGAGTTTTTTGTATATTTTTAGACTAAAGGAGACATGAGTTATAAAGTTGTGTTTATTTTAGAACCAGGTCTCTGAAAGATAAAGTTGGAGTTTTTTGTATATTTTCAGACTAAAGGAGACATGAGTTATAAAGTTGTGTTTATTTTAGAACCAGGTCTCTGAAAGATAAAGTTTGAGTTTTTTGTATATTTTTAGGCTAAAGGAGACATGAGTTATAAAGTTGTGTTTATTTTAGAACCAGGCCTCTGAAAGATAAAGTTTGAGTTTTTTGTATATTTTTAGGCTAAAGGAGACATGAACTATAAAGTTGTGTTTATTTTAGAACCAGGTCTCTGAAAGATAAAGTTTGAGTTTTTTGTATATTTTTAGACTAAAGGAGACATGAGTTATAAAGTTGTGTTTATTTTAGAACCAGGCCTCTGAAAGATAAAGTTTGAGTTTTTTGTATATTTTTAGGCTAAAGGAGACATGAACTATAAAGTTGTGTTTATTTTAGAACCAGGCCTCTGAAAGATAAAGTTTGAGTTTTTTGTATATTTTTAGGCTAAAGGAGACATGAGTTATAAAGTTGTGTTTATTTTAGAACCAGGTCTCTGAAAGATAAAGTTTGAGTTTTTTGTATATTTTTAGGCTAAAGGAGACATGAGTTATGTTAATAAAGCTATTCAAGAACTAATCAATATGGTGACAGAGAAAGATCTGCCAAAAACTGAGGAAGACAGGAAACTGATGACCAATAATTTTGATTTGATTAAAGAGAGTATAGAGTAAGTAGGGTGATTGAGGAAAGGGGGGGGGGGGGGGG